GCACTCATTAAATTTGTCAAAACTAAGGTGCACATAAGCTGGGGATTTCCATTTGTACAGTAATAGATTTTGGCTGGTAAAAAGAGGGCAACTGCCAACAGCCAAGTCTGTGACCTTTGGATGGTCCTCTATCAAGGCCAAGCACCCTGCAGAATATAGTGTGGCTAAATAAAGATCAAGGCCAACTCAAAGTCATGACCAGATGCTGAGCCTCAAATAAGTATTCAAGACATATTCTAAGTGTGTGGGGACACATGCTTTTTCACTCTTATTTTAGTCAGATGTTATGAGGAAGACATTTTAAGAAGATACTTTAATATTTGAGTATGACATTGGGAACTCAGCTCTTAAACATCTGTGTGGCAGACTTGACCTGATCGATCATAATGTCATGGCTTCTAGTATGTACCGGTGGAACACCCATTAGAATTAGGTCACAACCTGTTAGTCTGAAATATCAACTAAAACATTTATATGTTATATTTTTTATAATTATAAGCACCAAAGCAAAGCTCTGGGATGCCAGCTTTCGTGAGTTGTTATTGAAACATTTGGTGACTCTACCTTCTTGAATGAAATAACCATTTTCTCGGGGGGGGGGGGGTTAATAACCTCTGGAACTTTCAAAATATTTTCTCAGTACGGTGGTACCTCGGGTTAAGTACTTAATTCGTTCCGGAGGTCCATAAAGGTAAAGGTAAAGGTACCCCTGCCCGTACGGGCCAGTCTTGACAGACTCTAGGGTTGTGCGCCCATCTCACTCAAGAGGCCGGGGGCCAGCGCTGTCCAGAGACACTTCCGGGTCACGTGGCCAGCGTGACAAAGCTGCATCTGGCGAGCCAGAGCCGCACACGGAAACGCCGTTTACCTTCCCGCCAGTAAGCGGTCCCTATTTATCTACTTGCACCTGGGGGTGCTTTCGAACTGCTAGGTTGGCAGGCGCTGGGACCGAACAACGGGAGCGTACCCCGCCGCGGGGATTCGAACTGCCGACCTTTCGATCGGCAAGCCCTAGGCGCTGAGGCTTTTACCCACAGCGCCACCCGCGTCCCTCCGGAGGTCCATACTTAACCTGAAACTGTTCTTAACCTGAAGCACCACTTTAGCTAATGGGGCCTCCTGCTGCTGCCACACCACCGGAGTACGATTTCTGTTCTCATCCTGAAGCAAAGTTCTTAACCCAAGGTATTATTTCTGGGTTAGTGGAATCTGTAACCTGAAGCGTATTTAACCTGAAGCATATGTAACCCGAGGTACCACTGTATACCAAATCCAGTGCTCCTTATAGATGAAGTGTTTGCAAGTGGCTCCCTGCATTTTCATCCCTGCTAATTTTCACTATTGCTTTCAGGCACATTTGACAGGGGAGGAAGGAACAATTTTTTTCAAAAAAAAAACACAAAACAAAAACAGAAACAGATGGAGGAGCAAGTCTACACTGATTATCTGCTCTAACCACCAACACTGTTCATATGAATACTGTGTGCTCAAAGCTGCTTTAGTTTCATAGTCTTGCTCCTCAGAATATGAAAGTATTCACCTGCTGTCTTTCTTTGCTTTTAGTTTTTATTATGTAATGAAAGGGGAAATGAACGTATGTGCAAACATAAAACCAACTCTTAACCTAAAGGATTATCAGGGCTCCACCACGGAGCCTCCGTGTGACCAGTTATTCAGAGTCAGTTTTTTGGCTCTCATCCAGCCCACCACTGAGTCCAGGCACCAGTCCATGGCTTGCATAGCCTCCCCTGATTCAGATGTTACAGAGAAATAGAGCTGGATATCACCAGCTGACTTGATGACACCTTGCCCCAAATCTCAGAAAGACCAGCTGAAGCAAGGCTCCAAAACCCAACGTATCTCACTCGGCCTGAGACTGTTCTCCCCAACACACGTTTTCCTTGTAGTCACTTTTCTGTCATTGACCAGGCTCATTTTCAGGCCATTTCTCTCCCCAAAGATCTTTTCAATCTGCTACTTTCTGGGAGCCCCATCCCCCACCCCTACTACAACAAAAGTAGAAATTGCCAATATTTGAAACAGTTGCACTTCAAGAAGTAGGGGAGGGTTTTTCTGTGGCATAAAAGTAGGAATGGGGGAAAAGGCCTCAGAGTGCTGGGTTGGGAAGTCTGTTTAGAAACAATGTATGATAGGAAAACATGAAGTGTCATCAGAACCCTGGAAAAGCATATATATATTTTTAAAAAGAAAGTAGGAATGGGGAGAAATTTGGCAACCTTACCTAATTTGCACTTTTCAAAAACAATACAGGATCCAAAATACAGCTCTACTTTTTATTACTTATTTATTAACTTTGTATACTGCTCTTCATCTGTAGATCTCAGGGTAGTTCACAACATAAAAATACGAGACCTTGTATGTTTCTTTATGGGCACTGGGGAAAAAGAATATGTACAGGTTAAACTTTTTTGCTTAACCTGTACATATTCTTCCCCACCTCTTCTCCTTCCTAAGAGGAAATCATGTTCTCTCCACCACCATTCTTCTGCTCAGATGCAGCCTTCCTAGGTTGCTTCAAGTTTTGTTTTGTTTTTTAATGTAGAAGGAAGAATCATATTCTCATGTAGCATAAACTTCACTCTGGGCTGATCCACACTAATTTCCCTCCACATTTACTAGTCACAGGTCCCTGCTTTTCCAGGAAATCACAGACCTGTGCCTAGAAAGCATGGTGCAAAAGATAAGTGTGAGTCCATTATTTCCTTCTACTGCACTTTATGATGCTGCTGCCCCAACATGGTAATGCAGAAAGGCCTATATACAGTATAAATAAAGGGAAGTTTGCCCCCTTGTGGCTGCTTGAGTATCAATTTATTTTATATTACTGTACCTGTACTGGCAAAAACCTTGGCTGGATGCAGGGTTAAAAAGACACTGGATAATTTAAATGGCAAATTGATCCTTCTATGGTGGCCATTTTTTAATTTTGTTTCGACTACGGCAGACCAACACCTACCTGTAACTAAACCCATCAACTCAGTTCAATGTCCATTTCCTTACTCTATTCTTTCCATGCACCTGGGATGAATCCAGTGCAGTTAGATGGCAATAGTTCCATCAGTGCAAGCTTTTCTTTTCATCTTGCTGGACAAAACAATCTTCGCTCTCATTCCTTTTTCCTCCCCTCATATGCCATACCTTGCAAGGCTGAGGGCAGGGGCCTTCTTAAGTAATGACATCCTGTAAGTTATTCTGATATCCTTTTTGGCTAAAGGACAGTGTATAAATGACATGAAATAAATAATAAAGGGACACAAATTTTTATCTAGTCCCAAGAAGCTACAGGGCTGGATCCCAGCTAACAGTATCTATTTAGAAGTCCCGCTGAATTCAATAGCACTTACTTCCAAGTGAACCATTCACAGTGGGATCAGGTGTTAAACAGGGTTGTGTTATTGCCTCAACTCTATTCATTATTTTCATTGCCATGATCCTACACTTTGTTGAAGGGAAACTCCTCACCGGAGTAGAAATCATATATTGAACATATGGAAAGCTCTTCAATCTGAGCAGGCTGAAAGCAAAGAGTAAGGTTACAATAACTTCCGTCATAGCGCTTCAGTATGCTGATGACAATGTAATGTGCACATGCTCAGAGGATGACCTCCAAATCCTCCTAATTATCTTTGCAGAAGCTTACGAAAAGCTTGGCCTATCATTCAACATCCGAAAAACCAAAGTGCTGCACCAACAAGTACAAAATAAACCCTCTGCAGTGCCACAAATCCAACTCAATGGTGTAACGTTAGAAAATGTTGATCACTTCTCCTACCTAGGCAGTTATCTTTCCACAAGGGCCAACATTGATGCCGAAATCCAGCATTGCCTGAGCTCTGCGAGTGTGGCTTTATTCTGATTGAAGTGCAGAGTGTTTGAAGACCGGGACGTTCGCAGGGAAACCAAAATGCTTGTTTACAAAGCTATTGTACTACCAACCTTACTATATGCTTGTGAAACATGGACCACTTATAAACGCCATCTCCAACTTCTCGAAAGATTCCATCAACGTGTCTCCAAAATTTTACACATCACTTGGGAAGACAGGCAAACTAATATCAGTGTACTGGAAGAAGCAAAGATCACCAGTGTTGAAGCAATGATTCTTCAACATCAACTTTTGGACTGGTCATGTTGTGCGGATGCCTGATGAGTCTTCCAAAGCAACTACTCTATTCCGAACTTAAAAATGGAAAGCGTAATGCTGGTGGTCAACAAGAGGTTTAAAGACTGTCTCAAGGCAAATCTTAAAAAATGTAGTATAAACACTGACAACTGGGAAACACTGGCCTGTGAGCGCTCCAGTTGGAGAACAGCCTTTACCAAAGGTGTCATGGGCTTTGAAGACACTCGAACTCAGGACGCAAGGGAGAAACGTGCTAAGACGCTTGGCAAACCCTCACCGTGATCAACTCCCGCCCAGAAACCAATGTCCCCACTGTGGAAGGATATGTGGACCCAGAATTGGCCTCCAGTCACTTAGGGAAACACTGTTAAAACTGTGTTTATGAAGACAATCTTACTCGGCTAAGAGTGATCACCAAAGAAGAGAAAGAAAAAGACTTCCAAGTAAGTGGGGTCGGAATTGCAGCCTAAGCCCCACTGAAACCAATGAGAACTAAATCATGACTCATTCCTCCTATTTATTTCAATGTGACATGAGTGTAAGCCACGTGGTTTGGAGTCAAGCGCCCCCCCCATCAAATCTGGTTCAGAAACGATCTAAGATTTAAGCGTTTAAGATTAGGGAGCCGAAAACATTCCAGGCGCCAAGTCTGGAGTGGAAACGGCAAAGGCGAGGAGGGAGAGGAACAATCGGGCCTCTGGCGCCGCTCTACGGCAATGCAGGGGGAAAACCGCCTTGGGAGTCGGGCAGGGAAACCGACGCGGACCTCCGGCTGCGCATGCTCAATCCCTCCCGCCTTCTGCTCCCAGCAGCCATTTCCTTGAGTCTCCGCCCCTCCTCCTTCTGCGCTTGCGTGTGAAGCGGGAGCTGCGCGCGCCGCCACTCTTCCTCGGCGTCTCTCTTCCTTTTCTTGTGTGCGCGGCCGCGTGTGGCTCGAGAGTTCGCAGAGATGGCGATGCACGTTCCGAAGGCCCCGGGCTTCGCCCAAATGCTGAAAGACGGAGCGAAGGTGGGTGATTGTATGTGTGTGTGTGAGAGAGAAGCTCGCGAGCGTGGCGTCGAAGGAGCGCGGAAGGTTCCAGAAGCGACGCCTCAGCCCGGCGCTTCCAAGGAGGCGGGGCTACTGGGCCCCATCTCCCGTGGACTGGAAGCCCGTTAGCTTGGCGCGCGCTCACTGGCGGTTAACAGTCGCCTGAAGAATTAACGGGCTTTCCCCCTCCAACCCCCGCTTTCCGAAGGGGGGCCACAACGGACACGCCCTAAGATTTCATTCAGGCCCCTTCCATGTCACCTGACGTCTCTCTCGCCGCACCCATTGGCGCGCCCGCTGCCTAGCAACTCGAGGGCTCGCGCGCGGGAGAGGGGTGGGCGACGGTGACGTCTTTTCGCGTTTGCTGACGTCATGGGCACATGCCAAGTTCGCGGTCGGCGGCGGACTTTTTCGTTGAAGGGAGTTGCTAGGTTCCGATTCTGAAGCAGAACCGGCCCAGAGCTAAGGCAGCCGCTGCTTTGCTGCTTGGCTTGCCACTTTCCTTTCAAATTCGTGTCAGGGATGCTTTGTGCCGCTTCCTGCGTTCACTCTTCTGAGCTGGAATGCCCACACGTTGTTCTTCCACCTCCATGGCCGTAGGCTCAGAGTACGACAGGATGCTGCGTTTCCTCCTGCCACCCTGAACTTAGCAGCCCTGGTGATGGAGGAGTGGGAATGGTTGGCTTAAGACACCTGTGCAGCTCAACTGTACATAACTCGTGACTGCATGGTCCATGTACTTCCATTGTAGGTCACATATGTGGAAAGGATCCAGGAGCTTTCACATCCTGTACAGTGGTACCTTGGGTTACAAACGTAACTTGTTCCGGAGGTCTGTTCTTAACCCAAAACAGTTCTTAACCTGAGGCGCGCTTTTGCTAATGGGGCCTCCCACACTGCAGGAGCACGATTTCCGTTCTCATCCTGGGGGAAAGCTTGTAACCCGAGATACTACTTTGGGTTAGCGGAGTTTGTAACCCGAACCATCTGTAACCCGAGGTACCACTGTACTTGGTGTTTTACTTGTGTTTATAGTAAGAGTTTTATAGTACGGTATATGAGTTTTATGACTGAGTTAATCTTTGAAGCTGGGGCCTAGTTCGACATGTTGACAGTGACAATGATGTTTCCATCTATTTCCATTTGGAGATGCTTGCACCTATAATGGGTAGCCACTGGGATAAACTTTGCTATGCTTTTAGATTCACTCCTGACTGCTATAGGGCTAGGTGGCCAAGCTATTCTTTTACCTCCCCTTGATAACAAATGACACTTTAATCAATCAATCAAACAAAAATAAGCCGCCAACTGTACAGTGGCATTCTTGAAATGTTTGACTGTTCAGTTGGCCTGTATGCCAGTTCAGGATTACAACTTGGTGGGCAGTAGTTTGTAGGCACAGTGGAGGACTGGCTTAACTCAGTGTTCATTGCCTTTTCTTAAAGATGGCGAGTAACCTTCTGCAAACCTGTATTTGATATAGAACATGGATAGACAAACTAAGGCCCGGGGGCCTGATCTGGCTCAATTGCCTTCTGAATCTGGCCTGCGGACGGTCCGGGAATCAGTGTGTTTTTACATGAGTAGAATATGTGCTTTTATTTAAAATGCATCTCTGGGTTATTTGTAGGGCATAGGAATTCATTCATCCACCCCCCAAATATTCCGGCTCCCCACAAGGTCTGAGGGACAGTGGACCTGCCCCCTGCTGAAAAAAGTTTGCTGACCCCTGATATAGAATCATGAGTCTTCGTTTTTATATCTCACTTGTATGATTCTAGACCTGTGATTTTTAAATGCACAGCCAATGTCTTCAAATAGCCCTGGAGTCCTGGGGGCTGTGGCCCTGGCATCTACTCCTTCACATAGTCACCAACATTTTTTACCTAGTCATGCAATTATTGTCTATTGTGTGCCCATATATTTCTCTCACTACTATATTATACTTTTTCGTGTACTTTAATTTAAAATACTTTGTTTTGTGTCTGTAGCATTATTCAGGATTAGAAGAAGCTGTGTTTCGAAATATTCAGGCATGTAAAGAGCTTGCTCAAACAACTCGCACAGCCTATGGACCAAATGGTAAGACTTTTTAAAATATTCATAAATTATAACCTTAAAAAGAGGAATTTAGAGTGACTAAGTAGTATGTATTAAGAAATATAGCTTATGATGCTTTTGTTTGTTGATAAACCCAGGAACAATGTCATGATTTGTTTGGATAATTAGATAGAATTAAACCCTGAAACTAATTCACATTTTATAACACTGTCTAGTTATATTAAATTGTCATTCACATACTTGAGGTGTTCTTTTTTTTTTTTAAGGGATGAACAAAATGGTTATCAATCATTTGGAGAAGCTTTTTGTTACTAATGATGCTGCTACCATCCTAAGAGAGTTGGAGGTAAATTCCTTCCTGCCTTATTCATTTGTAGTCTCTAAGGATATATTGACTTGTACATGGGGATTATTTATGGCGAAACATTGTGTATGCTATCTGTTACAAGCTAAGCTTTTCTAGGCTTGTGTTGTTTCCCTGTGAAGGGGTCCAAAGACACCTTTGGGTGGGGTGTATGGGATGGGTAGAAATTTGTGGTACAGGCAGCTGTGTGCATATCAGGGTTGAATTAGCATGATTATAAGAAATGTGTGCTGCTAAGATTGTATGAAGAACTTGTTAATTACGCCAAAGTTTTGCTATTTCACATATGTGTTTTAATGACTGTTGCCACATAATAAGATGTAGGTGCACTGAATTAGTTAAATGTTTTGAATTTGTAATGCAGCGTAATAGATATTGAAGCATGCTATTAGTTACTTGAATATACACAAGTGTGCTTAATAGTGTTCTCTGATATAAAATCTTCAACAGGTTCAACATCCAGCTGCAAAAATGATTGTCTTGGCTTCTCACATGCAAGAGCAAGAAGTTGGTGATGGAACAAATTTTGTTCTTGTGTTTGCTGGAGCCCTCCTAGAACATGCAGAGGAGCTTCTAAGAATGGGGCTTTCTGTTTCAGAGGTAATCTTTTATTTTGTTCAGATTATTGGAATTCAAATTAGTATTCTAGGATCTTTGAATAATTGTGTATGAAACTCAGTCTCTTGTTTATCCTCTTAATTTTTCCATTCCTAATTGTGTCCTATTTTGCCTTGTGGAGATTGGGTTGGATCCAGATGTGCCTGTCTAAATAAAATGGCTCTTTTTGTGTGGAATGGGGCTTCAAGGAAAACTGGTCACTTTCCCTGCTTCTGCTTATGGAAGAGTCCAGTTGGCAGAGTTTTATTCCTGGGAAGTCTGAATCCAACCCTTTGTGAGGTTAAGATATCAAACTGACTTTGAACTTTTAACAACTTGTGCATTACAGTACAGACATTCTAGTGTCTTTAATTTTAGTTAATTGAAGGCTATGAAAAAGCTTTGAAGAAAGCCTTAGAGATACTTCCTGATCTAGTGTGCTGCTCTGCAAAAAATCTTCGGGATGTTGAAGAAGTGGCATCTTTGCTGCAAACTTCAGTAATGAGTAAACAATGTGGCAGTGAAATATTTCTTACTAAGCTTATCGCTCAGGCATGTGGTAAGTATATGTCATTTTTTTTAATCTAAACATAGTATTTTGTTTTTGATACCTTAAATATTTTCATGTTAGTTTCAAGCTTGTTTTTTGTAGTGAAAGTCACTTGTCTTAATTTCTTGTTGGATGTCGTTTTTCAGTTGAGTACCGTGGTACCTCTGTTTATGAACTTAATCCATTTTGGAGGCCCATTCTTAAACCGAAACTGTTCTTAAACTGAGTTACGCTTTCCCTAATGAGGCCTCCCACTGCCGGTGCCCTTCCACCATTTGGCTTCCGTTCTTAGACCGAGGTAAAGTTCGCAAACCAGGACACTGCTTGGGGTTTTGCGGAGTTCATAAACCGAATAGTTCATAAACAGGGCTGTTCTTAAACCGAGGTACCACTGTATTTTCCTGAGCTGCTCTTGTCAAGCTGCAACAGTGTCTAAAATAGAGTAACACTTACTTGTTCATATTATAAAGCATAATATTGTCACTGGCGCCATTTCCACAGATTCTGTGGCATGTAATTAATAAAATAACTAAATTAGATGACTAGCTATCTTAACAATGCTTCCTAAAAACATGTTACTTTTTATTTTTCGCTCTCTCACAGTCTCTGTTTTCCCCGAGTCGGGTCACTTTAATGTTGACAACATCAGAGTGTGCAAGATCATAGTAAGTCATTCTTTCTTTTCCTTTCAGTACTGTAATACTCAACATTGAAGGCACTTTGTTTCACTGGAACTTGCCTTCTGGTCACTATGCTTGAGGGTTGCAGCTTTAGTTATGGTAACCTTGAAGAAAAGCAGTTCTGTCTGAACTTTGGTTGGGGCCAAAAACAGGAGAGGGTGTAAAAAACATACCATCTGTGGATTTTTAGTAGACTGTTCCTATATCGTTTTCCTGGGAGATTAGAGACTTCATATGTAGGTGTGGATACATATATACATACCAATTCTGAAATTCGAAAGTAGATTTCGCAGAAAAGAAAGAGTTCTGGCTTTCAGTCAATAAGATAATGAATTTCTCTTCAATTAGATAATTAGCATTTCTCTTCAAATATCAGTGTGGAAGATTGGGAAGATCTAGAGTAGGGAATCATTTGCTGTGTTGAAATAGAAACATAAGAATGATAAAACAAATGCTTTAAATTGTAGCAATTTAACTGTTCCTAAGCAGATACAATCAGAGTTCAGGTATGCTTTCACATTAAATAGCACATTAATTTAATTAAAGTAAAAAATTAGTTGTATTCAGACTTTGCAGTAGGTCTCTTAAAATCAATGAAATCTACTCCCAAGTATGACAGTCTAGATACAACTCAGTGTGATTTCAGTGGCTTAACTTGGATGGAATGGTAATTATAATCTGTTCTTTTCAGGGTTCTGGCATTTGTGCTTCTACAGTATTGCATGGCATGGTTTTTAAAAAAGAAACTGAAGGTGATGTTACTTCTGTCAAAGATGCCAAAATAGCTGTGTATTCTTGCCCTTTTGATGGTATGATAACAGAAACTAAGGTATGGTTTCCCATCCTTTGGAAGTATTAAATATGTATGAGGCAGCAGCGTGTCTATACATATATATAGTGATCCTTTCCGTGTCTGCATTTGCATGGTGAACCAGGCCGAGAGCTACCTTCCTTTGTGCAATTCTGCTCACAGGGGCCAATATGGCGAAACTTTGGTTAGCACAGAGAGGGACAGTCCTATTATTGTGACTGTAAAAAGTGGTGCTGCAACTAGATAAATAGCTGCAGCCCTTTTCAAAATGCAATCTGTTCTGTGTTAAGGCAGGGATCCACAAAACTGTCAGTGGGAAGCAGTCACAACTTTGCAGTGACTTTTTGCCCCTGGGTGCCCAGCACAATGTGAGGGATCCCTTTCTTGCCTTCCATGGAAAACTTGGGGAAATGGAGGGATCTCTTGTTGCATATTTTCCAGTTATGCCACAAGAATGGTGCGTGTGTGTAAGTAAGTTAGTAAAATGACTACAGATTTTTGGCTGATTTTATCTGGGCTGGGATTTCAGCAGGCAGTCCTTTCATGGAGTATCTGTCCTATATTTCCGTGATTCAGTAAACTTTTGTTTGGTGGTAGTAGAAGTGTCTGAAGTCCTTCCATGTTAGGCTCTTTAGATGAACATACCTGACACTGGTTCATTTGGAATGCTCCCCAAAAAACCCTTGTGCAAAAACACCATATCCATGATTCATAAATCACTTTTTCTAGCTTCTTCAGCAGCTCGGTCCTTGTACTTGAAGTCTGCTAAACACTTTAGAGATCCTGGAGACACATGTTGCTGTTGATCTATATGTGCATTACTTAGAATATGGGTCTATGATAGCTGTCACTTCTGGAATTGCCTGTTTTTCAGGTTAATTGTATTAAAACATACAGTGGTGCTGCGCAAGACGAATGCCTCGCAAGACGAAAAACTCGCTAGACGAAAGGGTTTTCCGTTTTTTAGTCGTTCCGCAAGACGAATTTCCCTATGAGCTTGCTTCGCAAGACGAAATGTCTTGCGAGTTTGTTTCCTTTTTCTTAAAGCCGCTAAGCCGTTAATAGCCGATAAGCCGTTAATAGCCGCTAAGCCGTTAATAGCCGTTAAGCTGCTAATAGCCGCTAAGCCGCTAATAGCCGTGCTTCGCAAGACGAAAAAACCGCAAGACGAAGAGACTCGCGGAACGGATTAATTTCGTCTTGCGAGGCACCACTGTACTAGGAGTTGAAGATGAGAATGATGGGGAAAATGATGGCTTTATAATTGCAGGGAACTGTACTCATCAAGAATGCTGCCGAGCTGACAAATTTTAGCAGAGGAGAGGAAAACTTACTGGAGTTACAAGTCAAGAGCATTGCTGATACTGGTGTAAATGTTGTAGTTACAGGAGGAAAAGTGGCAGACATGGCACTTCATTATGCTAACAAATATAATATTATGTTACTCAGGTAAGTTGTGCAAAGATGTAAATTGTTTGCATTTCTTGGCCTATTTAACTGAAATACATAGCATATTTGTTTCCTGAAGTGTAAATTAGTGCATATGTTTCATCCCATTATGACTTCAACCAAGATTATCCCTGTGTGTGTGTGTTTTCCTCTTTCTGAACAGCCACAGATGGGGGTGAGTGGGTGGAAAGTACTCAGTGCAAGTCAGGATCATGGCACAGAGCAGTTCATCACTTTATTTTGTACCATTTTTGCCCTTAAATTGTCCCCTCTTCAATTTGTGGCAAATTTTCTTTAGAATTCTAGAGATGTCACTTTTCTGATGATGGAAGGGATTTCATTTAAGTCCAGTGTGCAGTTAACATGGTTTTGGTTTTCAGGTAGTTTGGATGATGATGATGATAAGGTGTACATATGTTCGATTATTTGTCAATTTTTTTTCCCATCAATAATGAAATGCACTTTAATGCTTCTGTTACCAATCAAGACATGATAGGGGGGCACTGTCCTTGAACCATTACCAGAATCCCTGCTTGTTCCTAAACAGGACAGTGGTGAGAGGCAGATGGTAAATTGCAGTCTGTTGGTGGACTGCTAGTACCTGCTGGGATATTGCAGACTGCTGGGCTTGGTATACTTTGGTCTCATCCTGCAGGCACTACTTACATTCTTAGGAAAGAATGTGTGTTCTGGATTACTTAAGAGAGACTGGTGCTTTCAGTGTTTATACAAGACAAATTCCCATTTTCTAGATAGAGAGCTCATCTATTATTATTATTATTATTATTATTATTATTATTATTATTATTATTATTATTTTAAAAGGCCCTAGAACAGGGTCTTTGCAGGAAGTAAAATGTTGATAGGGAACATTCCTGGAAAAATTAGTTTGGTACTAACAAGAATTTCTAGATTATGAAAATTACACCTGAGCACTATTTTATCTCCTTTCTTAAAGGCTGAATTCTAAGTGGGATCTCAGGAGACTATGTAAAACTGTTGGTGCCACAGCCCTCCCCAGACTGGTATGTAGCGAGAACAGCAGATGTAGTGAGAACAGCAGAGGTTTTCTTAAAACCTACTCCTTTCATAGACATAACCCTCCTTTTTCCTTCCCAGACACCACCTAATCTAGAAGAAATTGGTTACTGTGACAGTGTGTGTTTGTCAGAAGTTGGGGAAACACAAGTAGTTGTGTTTAAACATGGTATGTTTATTATTTTAGTATACTTGTTATCTTTAATACAGTGCATATAGAAACTTTGCATTTAGTCAGATTTCACAAGTCAAACCTTGATATATTTTCCTGCAGAAAAGGAAGATGGTGCTATTTCTACAATAGTAATTCGTGGCTCTACAGAGAATCTTATGGATGATGTGGAAAGAGCAATTGATGATGGTGTCAACACTTTCAAAGTACTCACACGGGTGAGTAAAGTGCTACGCAGAATCATAGAATTGTAGAGTTGGAAGGGACCCCGAGGTTCATATAAGTCCAGCCCACTGCAATGCAGGAATATAGAGGAGCATTATTTTACTGGCTTGTTAAAATGCAAAGTTAATCGTGTGCAGCTGCAGAAATGCTACCATACTGGAATATACAATAGTATATACTACCCCCAGTAGACCAGAGTGGCACTCTCTGGTTCAGGGTGAGAGAAGTTAAGGTTTTAAGTTTACAGTGATACACGTGTCAGTAAGTCAGGTGGGCCAAATTTGGGGTGGGGATGGTTTGTGAAATTGAGTGGCCCAATTGACAGATGAGAACACCCTTTCCCCCCAAAAGGGGGCAAATAAAGTAGTCATTGTCATCTTCTCTGGCTTGGCAGTTCCCTACCCTGAGCCATTTACCTCCCAACTCTGAGGGAACAATTCCAGGTGTGCAAAGGCGATAGGTGAGGATAATGCCACTCACCAGCTCCTCATCCAGCTGTGCTGTTCATCCCCTCACAAGGTCATTATCATCTGCTACCCTGTAAGAAGGATATGCTAACTATGATGTTACCGTCTTAAAAGGTAAAGGTACCCCTGCCCGAAGGCCAGTCGTGTCCGACTCTAGGGTTGTGTGCTCATCTCACTCTAGAGGCCGGGAGCCAGCGCTGTCCGCAGACACTTCCGGGTCACGTGGCCAGCGTGACGAAGCTGCTCTGGCGAACCGGCACCAGAGCAGCACACGGAAACGCCGTTTACCTTCCCGCTATAAAGCGGTACCTATTTATCTACTTGCACTTAAGGGTGCTTTCGAACTGCTAGGTGGGCAGGAGCTGGGACCGAACGATGGGAGCTCACCCCGCCGCGGGGATTCGAACTGCCGACCATGCGATCGGCAAGTCCTAGGCGCTGAGGTTTAACCCACAGCGCCACCCGCGTCCTCTTAGTGCTGCCAAAAAAATGAAGTGAACTGGGTAACCATTCTGGGAAAGGGCCTTTTTGGTATGGACACTCTAGCTGTGGAATATTCTTCCCAGTGAGGCTCACCTAGCACCTGCTTGTAGTTCTTTTGGAGCCTGGTAGACCATTCTGTTCACCAGGGCCTTATTTATTCATAAAAAATATTTATGTACTGCTATAAAAAAGCAGTTTACAATAATTGTTTAGTGCTTACTTACAACTAAAATGGGTTACAATACAAATGGGTTTGGTTTTTTTTAAGTTAATTTGGTGCAGTATGTTTTCTCCTCCCCCTGTCTTAGTTGGGACAGGGGGATATGAGACAGTATACTGATAAAATAAATATAAAGGAAGAGAGAGAGATAAATTTTAAAATAGACTTGAAATAGTTGCTTCAACTCTTTTGCAGGATAAGCGTCTTGTTCCAGGTGGTGGTGCAACAGAGATAGAGTTGGCTAAGCAGATCACGTCATATGGAGAGGTAAGCTACAAACTTAATATCTTTACTAAATTTAACTTTCCATATAATGCAACTTAAAACCCAATTCTGTCTTTAGACTTGTCCAGGTCTTGATCAGTATGCAATCAAGAAATTTGCTGAGGCATTTGAAGCTATACCCCGAGCCCTGGCTGAAAATTCTGGAGTTAAGGCTAATGAACTTATTTCTAAGCTCTACTCTGTACATCAAGAAGGCAACAAAAATGTTGGGTTTGATATTGAGGTAAGGCTAATGCCCAGCATAACATGTTTGTGGTGGTAGCAGTGTTCTGGAATGCCATCCCTAGGAGAGTGAATGTAAGGGAACAGTACTCTTTACCTATGGTTGCAGGGTGTGTGTGTGGGAATTCTGGATCACTCTAGATCAGTGTTTCCCAACCTTTTTTGGGCAAAGGCACACTTGATTGATGAAAAAAATCTCGAGGCACACCACCATTACAGCCCCGTGACGTCAGCGCGCAGCGTCACGCCGGGAGGGACGCACAAAAGTGTAAGTTTCAATTTTTTCCCCTCCCCCTTGCCGGGGAACCTCCAAGCTTTGGGGGTGGGGGGGGGAGGAGGCAGCAAAGCGAGGGACTGAGGGACTCCTCCAACTCCTCCTGCTCGTCCACGGCCGGGTAGAGCCGCTTGAGGCGCCGCTTGAGCTCCTTCTCCTGCTCGTTCAGGGCTGGGTCGCCGCTGTGAGCGGAGGCGGTGTGGGGGACCCCGCAGGTCAGGGCGAGTCGGCTCGTCAGCTGCCACGACAGGAGCAGGGCGGGCGGCGAGGGGGTGGCTGGGTGGGGGAGATCCCCCTCGGATCTGCTCCCTCTCAGGCTCGGTCGGCGCTGTCACGAAGCGAGACGAGGCTGGAAGGCGCCGCTCTCCTCCTCCCTCCGCAGCAAGCGTGGCCTGGCGCGAATCAAATCGCCGCTCCTGTCCCGTGCGCTCAGGTGGGCAGCTCCAAAGGGGCGCCCGTGTGCGCCGGCTTGGGGTGGCTGCCCAAGCGCCTTCTCTCTCTCGCCTCCTCCCACGAGTTCGGGGTCAGCCTCCCGCTCCTCCTCCGCTTCCTCCTGCCAGCCGCCGGGGTCTTTGGTCGCCGCAGCCTCCCGTCCAAGAAGCACCTTCGCCCAGGCAAGGACGCGCGCGGAGCTGGCGAGCGCCGAGGGGTGGGGCTCTCACGCCCGCCTCCCGAACCAGGAGGGCCGGGTCGCCGCCGTGAGGGAAGGGCGCCGGGGCGCTGCTGCTGCTGCTGCTGCCGCCGCTGCTCCCAGCAGGCATGGGCCCAGCTGAGGGCGGCGGCGGCGATAGCGGGCGGAGGAGGGGGCGGCGGCGGGGCCGAGGTGGCCGGCGGCGGCGGGTGGAGCAGGAGGGCGGCCGAGGCCGGTGAGGGAGTAGGGTTGCCCGGGGCTTGAGGAGCCGTCGCCGGGAGTTGCTGCTGCTGCTGCTGTTGCTGCTGCCCGGACATGCCGGCCTCCTCCTCGTCCGCTGTCTCGCGCTCCTCCCTTTTGCGCGCGCTGCCCCGCCGCCGCCCCATTGGCCGGGTCCTGTCAGCTGATCCTGTGTTATTTCCTGTGTGTGTGTGTGTGAGGGGAGAATGGAGAGAGAAACCTCGGCACCGCCACCGCGGACGCGGATCCTCGCCGCCGCCGCCCCGCCTCTCGCCGCCCGACTCGCCCGCCTCCCTCCCACGGCACACCAGGCAAGGTCTCGCGGCACACTAGTGTGCCGCGGAACACCGGTTGGGAAACACAGCTCTAGATGGACACATCTGTAAAGGAAGAATTGGGAGTACACTTAGGCTGCATACACACTATACTTTTAAAGCACAGGCAAAACACATTTTCTCCTTGAATAATGCCCAGGATTTTTTGAAGACTGAAATGTTCTTTAAAGGCATAGTGCGTATGTAGTTAGAGCATACTCCAGCTTCTTCCTTTTGAATTTGGCTGTGCTGCAGCTTTACCTGTCCTGCACCTGACAGATTAGGTGGATGACTGGTAGGTTTGGCCAGAACTGCTTCATGTGCCAATTGGGGAGGCTTAAGGGGGGAAAACTCCACTTGTTTTGTTAATCCTTTTACAGGTATTTTAATGACCTTCCTATTCTAGCTGTTCTGTGTGTGATGTAAGGCTTGCAGATTTTTTAAGATAGGGAAATATTGTTTTCTTTCAATGCAAAATACTATGGACTTTATTATCAATATTAATACCCGCTAGCTGTCCATTTTGTTCCATGGGCAGATTCTTAGCACCTTTAACTCTTTTACTGACATAAGTGGAACTCTCGTTGTAATCCTGTATCTGCTCAGAAAGTTAAGGCGCTGAACTCTTTTTCTAACATTTGACAGGCTGAAACTGCAGCTGCGAAAGATATGTTGGAAGCTGGTGTATTAGACACATACCTTGGGAAGCTCTGGGGGATTAAGCTGGCTACAAATGCTGCAGTAACTGTCCTAAGAGTTGATCAGGTAAGTTGGTGTAATAGGCTTTTTTATTGCTTCAGGTTATCGGGCTAAATCAATACAGTATGGAAGCTGCTAGAGTATTGTTAGGTTATGTATGCTTCATATGATTTGGTTAAAGTTGAAGGTCTAACTTAATGTGGCAGTGTGTAGTCTTCTGGTAGGCTTCTGTTTTCAAATGATCAGTTTCATACAGTAAAGGATTATGCAGACTCTTACATAAATACTTTTAAAATTGAAACTTGGTGGTGGAATTCTGTGCTTGATGTGAAATTCCTATAGATTATTATGGCAAAAGCAGCAGGTGGTCCAAAAGCCCCTAAAGCTTCAGAACATTGGGACAAGGATGACTGGAAAGATGGACCTGAACAGTAGTGTGAAGTAAGATTTAGTATCATGGCTCATGTTGGCAAGGAACGAGACTTTGCATGAATTCCTCTGCCTGGTGCTGATGAGTGTATTTTTGCTTCCACTTCCACGTATGTGTAGGCTACATCACAATTTAACAAACTGCTTGAGATAAGGGTGCACAACACTGTTAATATTCCTAAAACATGGTTTGAAGAATTATTCTATAGACTAATATGCATGATTTAGTTTACACTATTAGAAGCATTATTTGTGTGCTAATCTTACATATTTTGCAAGTTATTGAAGTTGAATTTTTTTACAGAACATTAACACTTTGTCTTGGTTACCACACAATGCACCCAAAACACCCCAGGTTTTTTGTGTCTTTTGTAGGAAATGCATTCTGCAATTTCCATTTTTGGCATTCATGCTAAGCATGTATCTACAGAAATCTAAACTTACAGCAGACAATCACTGCTTCTTGGAGACAATTCCTCATGACAACAGTGCTATCCCCATGCTGCTTAGCAGTGGGGGTATAGCAGTCTTGTTCAACTGACACCTGCAAAGGAGATGGGTGCTTTTTGAGATGCAAGAAGAGCAGCCAAGAGGGTTTTGCTTTTCCCTGTTAGGCTGATTGATTTCTACAATTTTAATCAATATTTTATAAAATAGCAAAAACAGTCCTGGAGCTATGCTCAAGACTTATGGGTTGAATGCATTTTTCATTGCATAACCTTTCTGTAATACTAATTATGGCAGTATGTAAGAGATGAGGCAAAAGATACATATCAATTCTGTCATACCTTAATTCAGCTGAAGTGCATTCTATGTAAAAATGTAGATCTAACAACTACTTTTGCTTGCAGATCATCATGGCAAAACCAGCTGGTGGCCCCAAACCACCAACAGGAAAGAAGGAATTGGATGATGACCACAGTGATTGAACACTTTCAGAGTACTACTTAAGGAGTTGTGTATCTTGTCATGTGTGTTACTCACCTTTAAATTATGAGACTTAGCTTGTCTTGTACCATTTCAATAAAAACTGTTTCAGTAAAAAATTGTTCTGAATGTGGTAATAAATCCTATTCAATATTACAGAAAGATAGGACTGTATCTAATGTTAAGGTAAAGGTAAAGGTACCCCTGCCCGTACGGGCCAGTCGTGTCCGACTCTAGGGTTGTGCGCCCATCTCACTTAAGAGGCCGGGGGCCAGCGCTGTCCGGAGACACTTCCGGGTCACGTGGCCAGTGTGACGAAGCTGCTCTGGCGAGCCTGCAGACCCACTGAAATTAATGGACATCACTAACAGGTTTACAGTCCACTCAACAAATTACGACCTCTGCCATTGGCTTGCTATCCAATTAAAACCAGGAAAGATTCTGGAATTGACTTCCTGCAGGAAGTCACCTTCTTTCAATGGAACAGTCTTAGATGGAATACCTTGCCCTAGCAATAAATCCCGGTGAATTGTTTGCTGTTCTCATCTATCTAAGCCCAGGTTTTTCCTTCTTAGGTTCTGATCCTATGTGGGGTAAATCTATTTTCTGTTACCCATGTGGAGTAATGAGACTAGACTGCCAATTAAGCCAAGCATTTTCCCCCCACAAGGAATTGCTGCAAATTGGTTTCTCTTCTAGGCTCCACAAATACTATATACATCATGCCACCACCCTTCATAGAAAACATATCCATGGGCAGTTATGTTCCTCTCTCCTAGTGGCTACAAGTCATCATGTTTCAACAAGCGGAATAGGCAATTTCATTTGGCACATTCCCGAGTTGCATTAGAAGACATCTGTATTGCGGTCTAAGCCTTTAAGGCACAGGTAGGCAAAAAACATGTTCCTACACCTAGTACAGGGACATTAAGAGCACCTTTTAACTTCCACTGCTCCCGATTCCTCCAACACTTCTGTGTTGCTGTTGGGAAGTAAATGGGTGCATATAGCCTTAGTTACATGTGGCCCTTGGCAAAAAGTTGTGCCTACTTTTAAGAGAATAAGAGCCCTACTTCTGCATCCATTTAGCACTAGAATGTTTGTGAAAGAGGTAAAAATGTCACATTTAAATTCATGTTAGATAAAACATTTATTTTTTATTTAAAAGCATGTAAGTTCTGTTCAGATGTGGGTAAGACAAAAGCAGTGTAGATTGAGGATCAGGTTAATTGAACATGATAGCTTTTTTTTTTTGGTGCAACTTTCTTTGCTTTCAAATCAGCTGTAAAAGAAAATGGCTCATTTACAGTAGTCTTTCATAGAATAGAAGATATGCTTGTGAATTCATCACTTTGGCTAGAGGCACTGCTTGCACATGTGTATCACTAATATGAAACCATTGTCCTTTGGATGATTCAGTCTCTGAAGCTGAACAGAAAAAAAGAGGTGTGTCATTAAATTCCAGTAATTTAGCAAGAAAGTAATTTTACATTGGTCATCTAGGGTAAAAACACTGGTGCTACTTACTTTGTCCAATCTTGCCATGGAGGACAAGATCAGAAAGTTGGTTGTTAGTAGCTCTCGTCTTCACATAGGCAGTATAGTGACCAGATCTCATAGTGCCACTATGTTCAACAATACCATACAAAGAGTACAATACTCTTGAACTGCCCTCTACAACATTCTGTGAAAACAATATATCCAAAATACTTTTAAGAAGGTTGATTTTATAATGCATCAGCAAAAATCGTAACGTTTGGTCATTCTTCCACACTAGTATACAATTATCTTTTCATTATAACTAAGCTCAGCTAATTAAACAATTAAACAGGAAACACTATAAGGGACAGCATTTATCTATGAATAAAAGGAGCATTTCAAACAAAAACATAGAAAAAGTTGAATAATAAAACAATTTGGCTAAGAATGAGACAAAATTAAAGGATAAAACAGCCCAAAATTCACAAATCATATCTAAATAGATCCCACCCCACTAAAATTACAATCAAAAGCCTAGGTGAATAACCCATATTTTTGCCTGGCACCTAAAAAAGGAGTGATGATGCTAAGCATACCTCCTTGGACAAAGCGGGCACCACTGCAAAGGCATGTGTTATCACCCACAGAGAAAAGAGCCTCAGGTGAGAGCGTAGGGCTTAGGTTGGTTCACGTGGGGAGAGGCAGTCTGATGTAGTGCAGCCCTGAGCCCCTTTAGACTTCATAGGTCAAAACCAGCAATTTGAATTAGGCCCAGAAACTAATTGGTAGCCAGTATAGTTAGGCCATGGCATGTTTTGTGCTCAGACCCATCTTTCCCCAGTGAGCAACCTGGCTATCAAAAACAAAGTGGGCCCACAGTGAGCCCTAAGAATGTTCAGTAGCATGTATTTGAACAGGGCAAAGTGTTTATTTTAGGTGCTGATAGAAGCCTAGTGGTCCAGGACTGAGGGAATACCAGGGGATCATCTTACCCCAAAAGCAGTGTCTATGGGCTATCTAGTATATGGGGGAACTAGAATAACTTGTTTTCATAGAGCTCACAATTAAATGAGTCAGATCTAGAATGAAAGAAACAGCATGATGGCCAGGAGAGAAATATGGTTATTACAAACCAGTCACCATCATCACATTAGGCTGCTTACTTTAAGGTCACACTGGGGCACTCAAGGGAAGGCAGAAGCCAGAAATTATGAGGGGTGGGTTTCAGAGAAAAGAGGTTGGGTCTTTGATGTACTGAGTTTGATACACACAAGATTTTATGCACACAAGTTAAACTTGTGTGAGCTGACTTTTTAAAGCTGTTCTTCTGCATGAGAAATAGGCTAGTGAAAAATGGTGGAAATCTAAATAGACTTTCTCTTTGCTTACCTTGCACTTAACCGAGCAGAAAGGAGCCAAGTCCATTACTTCAGGAAATTTTATGTGCTTGTTCACTTTTTGGAGATTATATCCAGTCTAGAAGGAGAGCAGAGACAGTGGCAAATAAAATGCATACAAATGACACAATCTAGTGATTTAAGAACAAAGCTTCTGATCTTCAAGACAAGAATTCTTATAAATTTAAATTATTTCTTTTATATCTCAAATATAATTGTAATATGGCAATAAGAATTTTCCCAGTTTCTCTCTCGAGTATTTTCGTGTTAGCAATGCTGCTTACAATGATGAAGCCAAGGACTTAAAACTTTATTTTACAGAAACATTTATACCTGTTGAAATCTTTTTAAATGAAGCGTTAGAATTGGAGGAGCGAGAGAAATAAGCATTTGTTTTTTGGCATTAGTGTATACATGTTTCTTGACATCTGCAGAACAAAAGGGGAAAAAAAGATTTATTAGATTTTAAAGAACGCTGTCATGGAATTGTTCTAACGCAATATAACGGATCACATAATTTGAGACTTCAGGCATGCTAAAACTTTTACTGCTTGCTGCTTTGACTGAAAACAGCTCAATTTATTCTGAGCTCACGCTTCATAGAGTTTTTCACAATGACCTTTATAAATATGTAACATTCAAAATACAAACAAATTAATGTATACCAGCCTTTACCAACTTTGTACCTTGAAGATGTTTTTGACTACAGCTCCTATCAGTCCAAGCTGGAAGCTTGGGAACTGTGGTCCAAAACATCTGGAAAACAACTGTTTTTGAATAAACAAATATCAAAGCTGCTACTCCCATTCAGTTTTGTCACTATGTGATTAGTTTTCAAAAATACAACTTCAGCCAAATTGTATACTCACTCTAAACGACTATCTCCAATTCTCTAGGATTACTTAGGACACTACTACATGCAGTTGTCTATGCCTTTATAACAGCTATACACACACTTCCTACTTCCCTCCCTGTGAAGTCATATATGCTAGGCTGACATGGTAAGAAAATATTTAAGAGCATACTTTTTCCAGAGGTCTTTGGTCCACAAACTTGCCTCTGTGTGCATACATCACACAGCAGTTTATTGTTCTCGCAAAGTTTCTCATTATGAGTGAACTGATATAAGCAATGAAGCACTGAACCTTCTTCTGTGTTCATAGCTTCTCTGTTTGCAAGGGTACAAAATGCTGTTTCTGGATCCTCATTTACTACTTCATACATTTTTGTCTCAGAATCATGAAGATCATTCAAGCTTTCTGAATCGTCACTAGGCTCTTCATCCAAAGCTAATTTGTTAAAGCCATTGGTAATATCCTCATCTTCATCAAGACTATCGTGTTTGGCAGGCAGATTGTCACGTTTATTAATACACTGTATAGCAGAAACCAAGCCTTCTGTGGTAACAGCCATTGTGGCTTCATTGTTTGCCTCTTGGTCAGAACTTCCTGTATTTTCATTCTGTACTTCAGCATTCTGTACTTCAGTTGTTCCCTCTTGCTCATTCATACTCTCTTTCTGATCCAGGCACTGCTCTTCACATGGGTTACATGACTCCTCGTCTTGTTTTAGGCTAGTACCCTCAGAATCATTTCCTACAGTTTCACTGCTGCAATCATGATCACCTTCCGTTTTTTCAGTGGCACAGATATCTGTTAGTGGGATTACCTTTTCTTGCATTTTTTGCTGGCGGCGTTGGTTCTGTCAAAGGAAATACAAGAAATTAAGGGTACCAAAAGGACAATTATCCTAATTTGTGCTGCACAGAGATATATAAAATGATACGGCATTTAAGTTTGGTATAAACTGAACTTCCAAGTTAATTTACATATAGATGCTCTTATGAGCTGTAAACAGTAAGGCTATCTTCAAACTTAAGGACAAACCATGATCTGGTGTAGATGAAATAGTTCGATAGTTCAGCCAAAGGAACTTAAAACAACAGGTAAAAATAAGGGATTTACAACCATTTGTGGGAAGGAAGCACCTAAGGCAGGGATGGGAACCTGTGGCTCTACTAATGCTTGGCTACACCGCCCCCCACCCATCATCCCTCATCACTGGCCATTCTGGCCAATGCTAATGGAAGCTGAACAAGGGTGGTCCTCACTGCTGTTTTAAGAGCAGATATTCCACCATTTTACAAATTAGCAATCTCCTTGACAATTTGCCATGTTGGCTAGAATAATGCCAATGCTCTCTCAACACTTGGTTAGCAGATACAGAATGTGGATGGGGATGCCTATTGGAAAGTAATGCAGTACAAATATATGCATTTAGTCACATAAAACTATGCTCAACTTTAAAAACTGGACTGGGGTGAAAATGTTGCTACACAGTCCAGATGAGCAATGAAACAGCCAGTGCAATCTGGCAAGATAGAGCACTGGCCTTAATGCCTGGGCAACAGGGATGCATACCTTCTATTCTATTCAGAATAAGAGCAGTAAGAGGCCTGTGTTCACTATCAGTTATATGGCTACATTGCAGCGTAATATGTTTGTTAGGTGATCCGCGACTGTCATGTGATTCTGCAGTGAGGAAGTCTTTACAAGTTAAACAGATGCACAAACAGCAGGAGATGGGAGAAAAACAAAGGCTGTGTAAAACAGGAGTAAGCAGCTAGCTGCACAAGAGTAGGAGAATGTGGGTGGGTGGGGGGGCTTTCTTAACTCCCCTACCAACACCCTATAATGCTCAGTGCAGTACTAGTAGCAACTCTTCAACCATCCGTATATAAGAGGTAAGTGTACAGAACTGCTTTCTGCTTTGCTACTATACTAACCTTTGATTGCTTTTTGGCCATTTTCTTTGCCTTTTTCAGGAGATGCTTACTTGTACCAGGAGTCTCCTCTCTCTCCTTGAAATAACAATCATTCCCTGTGTTGTCTTCATCATCTTCAATCTCTTTTTCCTGCATCTTTCTTACATTATTATTATTATTGGGTTTTTTCTTGCCACCCTTAAAAAGAAAGTGATAAACAGTTCAGAGACATGGTGGGACGTCAACCCCAATATTTGGGTTGAGACTGGCACATCAAATGAACAAAGGAAAACAGGATGGGGGGAAAGGGAATATTCAGCTGGATATTTCTACTGTTCATAACAAATTTAAAAACAATGGGTAGGGCTTTCCTTTACTTACTATCTCACTGATGAAGGCAGGAGAAACCAGCATGCCAAGCACTGCTGCCGATGTTGCTGGACTACATTTCTGACCACCAGCTGGGCTTATGGGAGTTGGACAATTTCTTGAGGGGTAAAGGATCCTCGTCCCTGCTGTTTTAGCAGGGAGGAATGGTTTACTCCATTAGCTTTTTAGGAACCCCATATAAGTGATGGGCTTGAGAGCAAGCACCCATAAAATGTAATAAATGGTAGTACACATATAAATTTGTACAGCTGCATGCCTGATTTTGGAAATTCTCTTACTGCACACTTCACTGTCCCACCCTCCCTAAAAAAAATTGAAGACTTTCTCGAAGCATGTCCCTTGAAGTACACAGCACCTATGCTGATGGGTGGGGGGAATCAGCAACCCCTCTCCTCATATATGCAGAACTTTCATCCAGTGGATGCCTCTGCTACTGACAGAAGATGGAAATCAATTTCATATTATTCTCTCTTCTGCAATCCTATGCTATCTTCCATGCTGTTCTGGAGGGTCTCCTGCTTTTTGGAAATGATTTTCAGGGGATTCTTGGGGCTGGAGGAGGAATTGGCAAAAATTGCTTCCCTTCCTCTTCTTTTAACAAAGATGTCTACTAGATCAAAAGCTCTTCTATGAGCACAAGGATACCAACTGTACAATGACTTCTGTTTGCACAATTGAAGTTCTCCTCCCACTCCTCTCGCTGAACCCCCCACCATCTGCTATGGAGGGCTGGGGGAGTTGTGGGAAGCATGTGGGGGAAACAGAGGGAAGGGAAGTTTTGATACACAAACGAAGTCATTCCATGAGCACATCAGCCTAAAAACAAAAGCAATCTGATCTTACCTCATTTAAGACAGGGAGTGACAAATCAAGGAATGACTCGTGCACTAACGAAATCTGAAATACACATTTTATCATAGTATTAGAAAAATTGCCTGAGTTTAAGAACAACCAGTTCAGTTATGTGAAAATAAGTTTATTGAAAAATAATCCCCAGCTTCGAGGGGTGGGGGATCCCAGTGCTGTGAGTGAGAGAGAGTGCTCAAAGCTAAGATTATGTGCCAAAGAAGGATAAGAAGTCCCATTCTTGAAAGTAGGAAAGCGAGATACAAAAGCAGACTGGGCTGCTATTATTGCTCTATTCTTTCACCTGAATGTAAATACCAACATTTTTTTGGAATTACAAGTAAAAGCCAATAGGTGACTGGAAATCTTATACAGCAGCTCCTCCAGCTTATACGATTTCCAATTCTGCAAGAACACTCGTAGAACTATAGGATATACTCATGCACACTTCATTCCCCCATCAAAGGTAGTGTCTGGGATGTAGGTCATTATAGAAATCTCAAGTCAGCAACAGCAAAGAGAGCCCTTGTATCATTCTGCTTGCCACCAAATTTATAAGCTATTTAGGTTATATCAAAAAGGAAAGCCACTTACAGTTTGGCACTCCTCACACATGATTGTGCTTGTTAATTCTCCACCAAAAATACGGTCCACAAAGCTCAGTGTCACCTTTCCCTTTTCATACTCTGAAATATTAAGAGAAAGCATTAAAACTTTATCTTAATTTGAGGGTGTTATTGTATTAAGAGCTACACTGAGTTGAACAAGAGGATAGCCCCACTCCCAACCAATGAGCATCATGAAGACATTATAGCTCCTTAGGAAAGGAGAAGTGACATGGAGTTGAATAATAGTTCCCAATGGTATGGTGAACATTCTATATATTAATTATTGTTTTTCTTTCTCCAGTGAATAGATGGGTTGGAATCGAAAAAGATCCAAAGCATATGCTCATGTCCACTGGAATTATTAAACACATGAAACAGCCCCACTTCCCCATATCACAACCCACTTTTGAAAGTGCTTTCGACTGCCAAGCAATTTTGATGCAACTTTCAGTTATTTATTTATCAACAAGGATCTGGTGTGAGTGGAAGGCACCTCTGCATGCACATAAGGCAGGAAGAAAATTAATTTCCCCAATAATTTCCCCTGGCACTTATCACATCCTTTTCTGGGGAATCCTCAGCAGCCTTTTTTGTGGTTGTGATAGGGCAGAATATGCATATTTTTCATATGTAACTCTTTGGATACCAAAAGTAATAAAGAAACAATGCCCAAGGTGAGGAACTGATAAAAGTTATTACCTTTGATTTTCTTTTTTAGTTCTTCATTTTCTTTATCAGTAGAATTATTGAGTGCCTTAAAAATTCCAGCAGAAATACGCTAGAAATATATATAATTGTAAATTGTAACAAAGCTAAACATTTTTGTTGTTGTTTATTCTACTAAACATCAAGTTTAATCACCACCTTAACAGTAGAAACAGATAGCTACTCTACATATTCCTGTATTATAAAGCAGGGGTTTCCAAGCGTTTGGGGCCTATGGGCACATTTGCCAATACTGAAAGGTGTCATGAAATAAATACTCTCCATTATAATTAATATACACATATTTTTTCACATTTCTGATTCTGTGACAGCCCAATTTCACGCATATTTACTCAGAATTAAGCATAGACACCTTTCCCAGTAAGCAGCAGTGGATGGCATGGTGGGGCTGAACCACCCACTTGACCTTTGTTCTGCCCCATCATTCTCCTCAATGCTCTTTGTGCACTAAGAGGAAAGGGAGTTCCAGGCTGCAGACATTCTGTACTAGATACTTACTTGGATTTCTTCTGTCCGCATCCCATCTAATAAATAGCGAAGCAGTTCCTGGCTGTCTTGCTGTTGATAACCTTTAAATCGTATAGCTCTGTTAAATATAACAACATAAAGGATGAAGATTTAAATTCAAAATATTACAGTAAGGACATAGAAACATTTAAAAAGTGGGAAAATAACTTGGTAAGGAAAAACAAAGGCTCACATCATTTAACAGATCTCCTTTTGTTTTTTACATTATTCTAGGAAGTTATAAAAAAAAAAACTTCCTTGTTTCATTTTATTGTTCCTTACATAATTTTGGCAGTCATCATAAAGATCAAACATGTCATTTTCTTAAATAAATGTACAGCATAATCCTTTGCATGTCTAATTAGAAATTGATACCACTGAAGAAGAAGAAGAAGAGTTTGGATTTGATATCCCGCCTTTCACTCCCCTTCAGGAGTCTCAAAGCAGCTAACATTCTCCTTTCCCTTCCTCCTCCACAACAAACACTCTGTGAGGTGAGTGGGGCTGAGAGACTTCAAAGAAGTATGACTGGCCCAAGGTCACCCAGCAGCTGCATGTGGAGGAGCGGAGACGCGAACCCGGTTCCCCAGATTACGAGACTACCGCTCTTAACCACTACACCACACTGGCCTTGGTAATGGTTTACCATATATGTGGTGATCTTGGTTGCTTTGCTCCTCCCAATCATGGGTGGGGGAACAAGTCATAATCCCTGGCTTGGGGTTATGTCCAAACCTGGGGTTGTGATTTGTTTTATTCCCAGCAAACCATAATCTGTAGGCCTTTTCTTGGTCATTGTGTCATAAACTAATCATGACTGAAACTGAGACATGTGGACATGAAGCCTGTTTTCAGCTTCAAGTATTTATAAGACAATGCTAACATCTCATGTACAGGAATACAACTTAAAATGCCTTAACCCAATCAAATTGCTCTATAGACCAACCAATATATGCAATTCACTGTTTTATATAAGCTTTTCAATATTAACATTACAACTCAGGCAGATACTCACTTTTTACAGATCTGAGAGAAGAGTTCTTTGGGGGTCACAGTTCCTTTTTTAGTCTCTTGCATTTCTGTCAGAAACTGACACATGGCTAGTGTAAGAGGTCTTGGCTGATCAAGTGTAACTATCATGGGTTCCTGAACACCACACAAAGAGAACATTTGTATTACATACATTTTGAAAAGTAATTTGCCATTCATTCATTTGAAGCAATATAGAAAAACATCTGGATTGCCCTCAGCAAAATGTGTGTGCATTTTTGTAGCCTGTATCCAGCACAGCACTAGCAAAAGAATTGCCACACAATGGGAATTTCTGCCCCTCTCCTTCACACAGCTAGTCATGAGGGTTAGGGAACCATGAGGAAAGAAAATGCCTGGGACATGGGTCAAGGGGTTGAAAAGCAGCTATCATGGGTTTGTTTTCTGAAACTAATTAAGGCTAAGCACATCTGTTCAGGCTTGGACATGATGCTCAACTGTGGTTAGCTAGAAACTGAAATGAAAGCTTCTGATATCTTCAGCATTATAACACAGGAGCAGGATGAGGTAGTAAATGAGCCTGGGCCTTCTTCATATAGCACTAAGCCATTGCATCTGAAGCAGGCCACTGCATCAACTGACCTGGCCACCCCCAAAATTCAGACACAGGCTTTTTGGTAAAGCTTGCTTAAATCCACCTCTTAAAATTTTTAATACACCATAAAACAACAGCTAACATACCGTTATTGAGAATTCTGGTGGTTCAAGCGTAACTGCCAAGTCCGGCATTTTAACCTCCTTTAGCAGCTCTCTCAGAACTGGTGTTTGTGATAAGTTCTGCAGGGAAATTTTTTTTAGAGTCAATGATTAACACGTTTGGTAACTCACAGTCATACCTAGAAACTTATTTCCTTATGTTCAAAATCCTTTTGAGACCACAATTTATTCAAATAAAGGCAGCGAACAAGATTGTCAGCAAGAAAAATGACAATCATTTTCCCACAAAAATTTCCCCACTTGTCCAATTCACGCTATTGGTCTTCAGGACAAAGCCTACCCTAAGAGGTTTTGTTCCCCAGCAATCAGACAAATGCATTCAGGATAATACATACTGGCTATACAGGGATTTAAAGGATAAGAGCTTGCAACTTGATATTTGTCAAGAAACAGAACTGGTAAGCAATGAAGCTCCTGTTGCTACTTCATCACAAATGGGGCTTGGGTGAGATGAGGAATCTAGGAATTGCTAGGAATCTCCATCATACCTGCAGAACTGCATTAAAGAAACAGGTATTCCCCAGGTTACTGAGGCCCTTCACTGTCACTTCTGCATTGCCATTTAAATGAAGTTTGTTGTCCTTCATCAATATCTCTTTTTTCTCCCTCTCTTCCTCATTTCGGTGGTCCTTTATTTTTTTGTTTTCCAATGGCTTGTTTTCTTCTTCTTTTGATGCTGAAATAAAAACAATTCATTTTGTGTTTCAAAATGTGATAAACCGAGAGATGTTAGGATGCAGCAATTACTAATACTACTCAGAGAAAAGCTAGACCTCCTAGGGTCTATTCATTGCTACAGATAACAAAAGTAAATTGACATTTCTAGTACATTCTAGTCTGGAAGGTGACAGTGAACAAAGAACCCATCAATTTCTAAATCAGTAGGCACATCCCAATGATGTCAAAGCTTACCTGTATTCTGCATGTTCACATGTGCTTGTTTTCTAACATAGTCCACAAGCTGGCCCAATTGACCATTACTATTGTATGGCACATCGTTGTCACACAAATAGCACCTGCGTCCACAAAAAGGAGAAAAGAAGATAAATAAAAAAAACACCCAGAAGCCCAGTGCAGCTGGCTTCAAAATAAAGTGCATATCATGATGTAGATACATTTCAAACTAAATTTGTATTCACATATGATATGAAAGTGGTTATCCGATCCATATATATATATATATATATATATATATATATATATATATCAGCTAGAATTTTGCATTTCTTTACTACAAAATGTCCAGCTATTAAGTTCTCAGAAGCTGTTGTCTATGACAAACAATTTTGCACAGTAGACAAATACAGCAATTTTAAGACTAAACTTGATATATTGTATAAATCAAGGAATTAAATCTGTATTAGCAGCAAATTCTAGTAAGTTCACTTATAAGTCTCACAGAGCCTCAGAGTTCTTGTTTCCTAATAAATCAATACAAGATTAACACAATCTTAGTACTTTATTATTGCTACTAGTTATCATGTATTATTTAACCCTTAATTTCTGATGTATAAGATTTTGTGTATGTTTCAGAGATATTTATAAACAATTTACAACACAAGTGCTATGGCAAGATGGGAAAGGGGTGCAGAATCACTATAGCAGTGAAGCCTCTCAAGAAAATAGAAAGCATTTATGATAAACCATGTTACTGCTGCTGAAAATATGAAAGAATGTTTGGGATGAATTACAAGGTGCTTAATTAGTATGACAACACAAGAATTTAGGTAGCGATTCCCTTTTTTGTTATATGTTGCACTCCATGTGTGCTGGCACATATTCAGAATAAGGGCTGCACAATGGTTTCTATAGGAAGATGGTGTAAGATGAACCCCTCATACAGGAGGAAGAGAGAAAACTAAGTATGCAGCCAAAGCATGACAGAAATGGTAAATAAAATAAGTCAGGTACACTGCACAAAAGGTTACATAATAATTCCAATAACTTTTAGGGGGGGAACCATGTAGCCTTCTAACTGGAATATTGACAAACTCACCACACACTCCAGTTGTCCAAACTGAGAACCAAACAATGAGGTTCTGATCTTGGTGTTTCATAATGCTTTATGGCATGTTTTTCTTGAGAATTTCTGCCACAGCCCTGGAATAGCAACAGTTGCAAATACAATAAAGGTTGCAAGTCAACAGTTATTGAATTAAACTTTTTAAAGTGAAACCTTCAAATAGTTGCAATAAGGAATAGTTCCACTATAAGGAGTACTGTTAAGTGCTAATGAAACAAAGCAATTATACATTTCCCACCCTTGGTATGCATATTATAGGGAAAGAAATACCGTGTGGCCACATTTCAAGCATAACCATATTGAAGGTCCGTCTTCTGCTTTCTCTTCAGATTTCTCACGGGTCTCACTGTCTGATGTTCGGCAATCCTGGCAGGAGCTCCAGTCCACATTCTGCAACACCTTTTTCAGGCCACCTTGTTCCAATCCTTTGCGAAGGTGCTTGCATACAGGTTCTATTGGGAAGTTTCAACAAGGCAAGGCAAATTTAAAAGGGACATTATTTAGAACGAATGTGGTGTAGGGGTAGAGATACTCTAATCTCTGCTGTACAGTGCAACTCCCCTGGTGGCTTTGGGCAAATTATTGTCCTGCAACCCAACCTACCTCACAGAGCTGTTGTGAGAACAAAAATGATACAGTTCTACATCTGCCACAGTAGCTTCCTGGGTGCACTGTGAGACACTGGTGTGATAAATAAACAAAAACCTAAGGCATACAGTGGTACCTCTGGTTATGTACTTAATTCGTTCCGGAGGTACGTTCTTAACCTTAAACTGTTCTTAACCTGAAGCACCAATTTAGCGAATGGGGCCTCCCGCTGCTGCTGCGCGATTTCTGTTCTCACCCTGAAGTAAAGTTCTTAAGCCAAGGTACTATTTCTGAGTTAGCAGAGTCTGTAACCTGAAGCGTATGTAACCCGAGGTACCACTGTATAGCCAAAGAACTGTGAGAAGAAGTAATAGTTGCTGGTGCTGCTCTACTAAAGCTTCCAGCAGAGCTTGTGATTTTTTGTACAAAATGAAAGCTCTATAGCTCTCTGAGCAAGACTTGTTTTATTTGTTCTTAAAACATTTTTTCTTTAAAAGAATCCTGCGTCTTCCTTTAACTGCATGAACTTATATAACCCAGTATCGCTGCCTTCTTTCTGACATGGTCTTAATGCTGTGTCCTTTCCCAAGCCCCATTCCAATGTCCTATTTTTGTCATATATCCATCAAAAGAGATTTAATAACTGAATAAATGGATATTATTTATTTAAGAATCGGAAATAATGGGATCACAAGCACAACAAACCTGTCTTTACACAGGGAGGTTCAGGCAGGAACAGAAAAGTAATTATGCCATTTCATACTGAGGGTAGAGCTACACTGCTGTTTAATCTTCTCATCATGACTATGATCATAGAGCATCAGGGTTCCAAGCTAAGTGTCAGATGTTTCGTTCCAATTCAGATAAAACTAGGCAATGAAGTCAACAGGAGTCGGGCAAAAATAAATGTTAACCCATAAATTTCACTGAGAAGGGCAAACCTTTCCCTGGAGTCAAACCTTTGGCAAGTCCAAGGCCTACTGTAAATTAAATGAGATTGCCCCTTAAATATGAATTTAAATACTGTTGTTCTCTACATTATTTGATTTGCACTACGACAAACACCTTTGAGATATTACATTTCTGCCAAGGAAATAAGAGTATAAACTCTTTCTTCCTCGGAGCTATGAAACTGATTGACAGTATTACAATTACAAAGAATACCTGCTACATCCGGTGAGTCATCTGGTGGCATGTTTTTCCCCTTTGTTCGTTTTTTTCCCATGCTGCTGCTCCAAGGTTTTATTTCACATCAAACATTTATGGCCTAAAAGAGAAAGAAATATTATCATTCTCAATTTTGAAGGAGACCTAAAAAACTAAAAGCAACTACACAAGAAGACATTCAAGACCCAATTCCTCAAGGTGATGGTGAACTCTGAACATAATGATGTGCCATGGAGCAAGTGGGGTAGAGTTTGTGTCACCAGCCATATTTTCCTTTCTTGTATATCAGTCCTTGGAAATTGAGGTTGAAAGTGGCAACACTGCAACCAAGCAAGCCCAAAATCCAGCTGAAAGGTTTGCACAAAGTACTGTATACAAATTTGTTTAACAGCAGAATACATTTTAGGAATATATTGGGCATATTCAGATAACCAAATGTCAGCTTGAGAAGCTGAGATATGCATGAGCTTCGGGCACTTGCATGTAGCCACACTGCTCCCCCCACTTCAGGAAACTTCACTTAATCATAGTTTCTCATTACACTTGAACCAAGAAACTATTATTTTTTTGCTTGATTGCATGCCATTTTTTGACATTGGATTCCATATCCTGACTTGTTTAGAAGCTGCTAACCAGTTTCAAATCTGGACATAACTGGAAGCTATGGTTAACTGTAGGTTACTTGTCCTGTGAAGAAACAAAGCTGTTACCAGAAGGTTATTTGTATCTTGGCTTATCAAGCCAAGATTTGATCCCTTAAATGTGCCACTGTGTACAGGAAGGCTGCAACTCAATGAGAGTGTTCATGCAGTCTATAATATAGCATTGGACTTTTGACTGCAAAGATACTGAGTTCAAATCCATGCTTAACCCTAAAGCTCTCTGGGTAGCCACAGGCAAGTCATTTTTTCTTTGTCACAATAGTGTTGTTGAGAGGATAAAATGTGAGAACCCCCTGTGTATTGCTCTGAGCTTCTTTGGGGAAAAGTAGGATATAAATGTAATAAATAAAATTACTGACATGCATACAAGTGCAGCAGATAATATTTCAGAGGCTAAATATGAAGTGTCATGTTCTAGCACAGCAGGTTAAGCTAGTCTGATGGGATATCACATATTAAACTACAAAATGCTACAATATAAGGGTGTGGATTTAGATCAGAGCTTTCCAAACTTTTCAAGTTGGTGACACACTTTTGGGACATGCATCATGTCTTGTCACAGAAATTCAGTTTTACTAGCAAACCAGAGCTTAAACTAACCCTTTGCAGCACCAGGAGGAGCGCAGGGAATGTTCATGTGACACACCTACACACTGCAGCCAACACATTAACGTGTCATGACACACTGTTTGGAAAGCTCTGATTTAGATACTTTAAAATGTACTCTCTGTTGTATTGGGAACACTCAGAAGCAGGTAACATTCTGCAGCAGAAAATATTAGGGAACATGTTTATTTGCCAGCACAAACTTCAGTAGTACAGGTTTTGGTGGTCTTGATTTGTTGTTACCTCTACTACATATTCTACATGCTTGTACATATTTTGCTCCTATTGTTGCTGCTTCCCTGGGCAAATGACAGGTTAGCTTGATTATATAGAACTTACATTCTACTTTGGAAATTATCCAGAGAAACATGTGACTTAGCTTCATGTGTCCAATATGGAATAGCCCGGACACAGAGCAAACTTTTGACTATTTAAAAAAATAATCTGAACAACAAAGATCCGCTGGCCATGCCTATAGCAGCTTTCAGATCCTAATCTTATTTTTTAATTTTTTTTTAACACAACAGTAATCAGAAAGGTAAATGTATTTTTGTGTATGTTAACTATGAATGAACACCAGTTTAGGGCTTTTCATATTCCAATCCCCATAGACTGCCTGCACAGCAGGGATACATGCTGACAAATAGACTTTCTGCAAATACAGTATAATCAAATTGTACTGCTGTAGGGATTACTCAAGAATGACTACTGTGACAATTTTAGACATGTTTTCAAAATAGTCTACCTATTCCGGCTTCTCCTCCTTACAAAAACAAATTCAGTGTTGGTCGAGTCCCTGGAGTACTTTGCTCAACTTTCTGCACTATTACTCACCGCAATCTCTGGGGTGGAAACAGCACCCCTGGAAAAGGGAAGAGCAGTCTCTTTTACACTGATGCAAGTCCATATTACAAGTCCATATTTCTGCTTCTTTCTCGCTTTTAACTCAATTAGTTTCCCAGAATTCTGGAGTTGGAAGGGATCCCAAGGGTAATCTAGTTGAACCCCCTGCAATGCAGGAATCTTTTAACCCAACAGGGGGCTTGAACCCATGACCCTGAGATTAAGAGTCTCGCGTTTTGACACAAGTCAAACACAATTCAGTGCATAAAGTTTTAAATTTAAGGCCCTTTCTTATGACATAAGACAAGCAAGTGCTCACACAAGCATGGCTATTGAGCAGTTTGGGACACATCCTCATTCCCTTGCATCCACTGAATTATTAGCAACTGTGATGCTGGGAAGGGAGGAAAACACCTGTTTCGCCTCAAGTGTGTTACTGCTGGCATTTGATGGCATACAAAATGTTAGAAGCAGTGCCCTTCAGCTCTCTATATTGGACAAACAGGCCAAACCCTACGCCAAAGGATAAATGAACATAAAACTGACATCAGGAATCACAAGAGAGAGAAACCAGTAGGAGAACACTTCAATCTCCCAGGACATTCAATACAAGATCTCAAAGCAGCTGTCTTATTACAAAAGAATTTCAGAAATAGACTTGAAAGAGAAGTTGCTGAATTAGAACTTATTACCAAACTGAAAACTATGGAGAGACCTGGTCTGAATAGAGATATTGGATTCTTGTCTCATTACACATGCTAAAGCTATTTTTGGTCATCTGCATACTATCCCTTGCTTTTTCCTGTAGGACTAAATGTAGTCGTCAACATGTTTACCATACCCATTGAGCCAATCACCCATCCCCTACTACCCTTCTGAGAAATACCCCACCCCGCCCTCCCACTATATACAGTGGATGCTTGGGTGCGAACGTGATCTGTGTGGGATGCATGTTCGCAACCTGCGTCTGTGCATGCACGGGTTGCAATTTGGCTCTTCTGCGACCACCTAAACCCGGAAGTAACCCGTTCCGGTACTTTCGGGTTTCGGTGGTCCACAATCTGAAAAGACGCAACCTGAAGCGGCTGTAACCCGAGGTATGACTGTATAAGGGTCTGGTGACTTCTGCTTCAGTGTATCTGAAGAAGTGTGCATGTACACGAAAGCTTATACCAGAACAAACTTAGCTGGTCTATAAGGTGCTACTGGACAATTTAAAAAGACAATTTGAAATATTAAAAAGACAATTTGAAATATAAAAAACCACAAATAAAACCAAGTGTTGGGAATACTGTACTGTAAATAGCTAACCTGCCCTGCATGCAGACCTTAAAACAGGTGAAAACATTTCCCTACGACTTCTTTTGACCAAACTGCGGGAGGCAGTGGAAGACAGGAGTGCCTGGCGTGCTCTGGTCCATGGGGTCACGAAGAGTCGGACACGACTAAACGACTAAACAACAACGACTTCTTATCCCCGTGACTTGCTTGGCCAGTGCCATTTGCTTAGCGCACGTTAATGGCAGGAAGCGCGCTCAAATTATTGCGGGGCCAAATCCTGTCTTTCCCAAAGCCTGCCTTTCCATCTTAAGGAAACAGCCCCCCTGCGAAACTTCTGCATGTCCTGCTGCCTTTAACAGGCGCAGGACCAAAGACCAGCAAGAGAATTGGCCACTTTGCTTAACGGAGTGCTGCACTTCTTGGACCCAAGCTCGTGTTCCTGCGCAGTCACACAAAACCTTATCCTCCCTTCCCTTCATACCCAGGAGTAGAGCCCTTCAGAAATTGGCAGCCTCAGGTTAGAAGGGCAAAATATTCTGCCTCTCCAAGAAAGCCAAGCCAAGGCAGACCTGACACTGCCGCCGCCGCCGCCGCCTCCTCCTTTGCGACTACATGGGCTTAAGAGGGACGGTACTACTCACCCGCAAGCCTTTAAGCGAAAAGTCTGGTGAAGGAGATACAAATAAAACCCCGCATGCCTGGAGAAACCAACAGTCCCCACTGCTCCGTGGCAGCCTCTGCGGCGCGTCACCGTCTGAGAGTCGAGGGAGAAACACGCAGCTCGCGACTGGCCCAGCTCTCCTCTCCCTTCAGAAAACGAGCTTCGCTGCAATTTCTACCAGAACGCGCCGCAACTTGCCGGGTGGGAGGCAGTCCCCAGCTTTGATTGGTCACGTCACCTTAACCCCGCCTAGTCTGCCCTTACTGACAAAAGCCAGAGCCAATAGGAAAACGATCCTGCGTTGCGTCACTGAGAAGAAGACGAAAGAAAATGAAGCGGCCGGTGAGGGCAAAGCGGGGGGGGGGGGAGAGCGAGCAACTGCGCAGCATGGAGCGAAGGAGTCCCGAGGTGTCGCCCGCGCTCCTTAGCCGGAAAGAAACGTCCCGGATTTAAACGGTTCGCGACATATCTCTGCGTCTGAGGTGGATATCAACAGTCCTGTAGAGCGGCACAAAAAAAGTGTGTGTGTGGGGGGGGAGCGGTTGACGGTTCGCCGAGCATAGATTTCTTACCATAGAAGGGCCGCTTTGCTGAGCAGGAACTTCCGGTGCGTTGGCTGCCGGGAAGGGACTCCCTGGGAGGAAGTCTGTGGTCCAGATCTAAAGTGAAACGAAGGATAAACAAGCCGCACCGAGTCCAGCTTCCGGGTTCGCTGTGAACTTTCCAGGGCAGAAGGGAAGGGTGCTCGTAGGCGGGAACTTTGCTGAGAAATCCAGGTTTTTAGTGTGGTTTTGGCCAGCGTGCTCTCTCCCCATCCTCCCACCCCATCACAAGGTAGCAGCAAAGGCAAGCGGTCACGATATTTTAATTTGGGATCGGGTGGAGCTCGATTTATATTTCCGTGTATCTGTATCTAACAATATGGAAACAGGGTCATTGGCGTGCTACTTAAAATAAATCAGTTGATTGCAGTGGTTCTATCCTATCACTAACATGGAATATCAACCCTTAATCAGAAAGAAAGAAATGCCCTGATGACTGTCTGCTTACACAGAAACGAAAGTGCCGAATTTAGGATAACCTGGATAGTTGGAAATATGAAAAAATGTAGGGTTGAGTGTTTAAACATCCGGGGTTGCAATTCACATACACCGCTATGGAGACTATTGCTTCTGAGTAAACATGCATAGAATTGCTGTGTGAAAATGTAAATGATCAGCTAGTGCAAAAGGCATATCTATTTAACATTTGATTGGGTGAAGGCTCTGGCTATGTGGTAGATACTTCTGAGTAAACATGCATAAGAATGTGCCACGTGGCCCATGCTTATGCAATCTTTTTCAGGCGCTGATCTAAATTTTTTCCAATGTATACCTCAAATCTTTGTTAACTGTTCTTTGGAAACTCATATAACCTACAAGATAAACTCATCAGTGATCCATAATCCGTGAACCTAAGGCTGTAGCCCTGTATCCACTTACTTGGGAGTAAATCTCATATAACTCCATATGACTTGTTGCTGAATATGCATATACAGGATTGCACTGTAAGGCTGCAGTCACATGCAAGTTTATCTGGGAGTATCAGAGTGATCCTCATCCTGGTTAAAGATCAGAAAAGTAGCTGCTTGCCCCTTGCATCCCAAATCCTGTTGGCTTGGAACTGGCCAGGTCAAAATATGAGTGTGTGTGTGGTATTTTTCTGTATGAGTTTTGCTATTCTATCTCCTGGCTGGCATAATTGAGGCATAGTCCACAAGGTTTTGAATCTAGTTTATCCAAAGGTGCCTCCTCCCACAGTCAGTAGGGTAACTACTGGCAGTAGTTTTTCACTTGAAACTTGGGTCTTTGCTGCACTCCCCCTCCAATTGAGGAAACTACTACTTGCTGTCTTAAACTTCAGTATTGGGTTGTGTGTAGGAATGCACTGTAAACCACACTTATCACAGTGAACATGCATAGGATTGGGATGCAAATTTACAATCCAGTGCAGTCATTTGGAAGTGAATGTGCATATTATTGGGCTGCCAATAAAATAGATGTTGATGGGAATCTGTGTTTCAATTCCTTCAATGTGGAAAAATGACATAAAAATTAATGGTAATATTCTGCAACCAGTTAAAGATTTCATGTGTTTGTCCCATCAAATATAGCCATATACAGCACCAGAAGCTGCAAATACTAACAGTATTTCCCTCTAATTTGTTTAAGAATCACATAAACATATCTAAAATGAGCAACTTGGAAGAGGCTGAACTACAACTTTCTGAATTAGATTTGCTTTCTAGTATGTTCCCCAATGAAGATGAATTTAAAGTGACTGATCAACTGGCTTTAGCAGAACTGAAGGATCACATTGACAGATGCACCTTGGAAGTGCCATCATCAAAAATACAGTTTACATTGAATTTAGAATTAGACACTGCAGATGGAAATAAGGTAAGGCATCACCATTCTGAATGAAGTATGGTATTTGAGACTAGATATTTAGTAATCTCTGTTTCTTTGAATTCCTTTCTAGATTCCACTTTCTTTGTTTTGTGCTTTCCCATTAAAATACCCAGCTGTTCTTCCAGAAATTACTATCAGGTACTACATATTTTGATATAGAGAAAAGTGGCCTAAAGGTTGAAATGCATTGTTTATTCTGTTGTAACATAAAGTCTGCATTTAACTGTCATATGCAGTATAATAATTCTAATGACTGCAGTGAGAATTCAGGGATGTATCCCCCCCCAAAAAAAACAAATGGAATCTTTAAACTTTATCCCTCACACACAAAGAAGAAAGAAAGGGAAGGAGGTTGTGTGAGCCTAAGGTCACCCCAGAGCATTCCCAATAATTAAGGAAAACTAGATTTTTCCATTTTTTAAATCCTTTCATTTGTATTCTAAACAATGCCATCATTCCTCCCCCTTTAGATCTCCATCTATAAGCCGATCACAGCAGGTACAGCTGAACACAGATCTTATAACCTACTTGAAGACACATTGTGCTGGTGAAGTCTGCATATTAAGTGCAAGAGAATGGATTAAAGAACATGGCACTGCTTACATCAGCAGAGATCCCTCATCTTCAATCATGATGAAATCAAGTATTCAGAAGTCAGATAATGTTTTCACTAGACTATGGATTTACAGTCATCACATTTATAACAAGCACAAAAGAAAGAATATAGTTGATTGGGCTAAGGAACTCTCTCTGTCTGGATTTAGCATGCCTGGGAAACCAGGTATCATTTGTGTAGAGGGCCAGCAGAGCCTGTGTGAGGAGTTTTGGGCAAGGTTTGTTTTTCACTTTATATCTTGCATTCTTGAGTTGCTACCTTTTGGTGGTTTACTTCAGTCATAAATTCCTCAAACTAATGTTTTTCACTGTATATTCAGAATCCTTCCTGTGCTTATTCTGCCAGTTATACTTTACAGCACCATAATTTAGCACTGTGATTAGGCAGTTGCTTGATCCTGTGTGCGCATACCTCACAGAAGAGGGATGGCATGATGAGATTGTCAGTGACTGTTTCATCACCAAGAAAAACATGATGGAAAGCTCTCTGTTGGCAGAAGAAACTGAGAAAACTTATGAAGTAGAGGCAAGAGATGTAGAGCCGCATGTGGGTGACCAAGGCATTGAATACAGGTTTTCAAAGGTTTGTAGAAATACGATGGTCACTAAAGGGTGCTGGGAGTTGTAGTCTACAAGATCTGGAGGGTACCGTATTTAAATTCACAAATTTAAAACACATGACTTAAACATGGGAACTGTAGTTTACCACCCAGAGGGCTACAATTCCCAGCACCCTTAACACGCTACAGTTCCCATGATTCCTTGGAGGAAGCCATCTGTTTTAAATGCACAATGTGGGTGTGACCTTAAATCAGTAACAATATAGGAATTGTATGAATTCCATTTACAGTGGTGCCTCGCAAGACGAAATTAATCCGTTCCGCGAGTCTCTTCGTCTTGCGGTTTTTTCGTCTTGCGAAGCACGGCTATTAGCCGCTTAGCGGCGCTTAGCGGCTATTAACGGCTTAGCGGCTATTAACAGCTTAACAGCTTTAAGAAAAAGGAAACAAACTCGCAAGACGTTTTCGTCTTGCGAAGCAAGCCCATAGGGAAATTCGTCTTGCAGAACGACTCAAAAAACGGAAAACCCTTTCGTCTAGCGAGTTTTTCGTCTTGCGAGGCATTTGTCTTGCGGGGCACCACTGTATGTCTTGAGACCAGACATAGTTGCAATCCAAGATCTTAATGTCAGAAGAAACTTTCAAGCCATGGTTCAGGCCTCTTTTTGTTGCCAAAATCTTTCTGGTGGCATTGTGAGGAAGGCAGTATAAGTATGCTCAGGAACTACAGTGGTACCTTGGGTTACATATGCTTCAGGTTATATACGCTTCAGGTTACAGACTCCGCTAACCCAGAAATAGTACCTCGGGTTAAGAACTTTACTTCAGGATGAGAACAGAAATTGTGCTCTGGCTGCGCAGCAGCAGCAGGAGGCCCATGCCATTAGCTAAAGTGGTGCTTCAGATTAAGAACAGTTTCAGGTTAAGAACGGACCTCCAGAACGAATTAAGTACTTAACCTGAGGTACCACTGTATAAACTAGTAAATGGCTTCTAGTCTTCACCAGTGACTTCATTCTGTTTCTCACAACCTCTTTCTTTCAAGAGAGAATATTCATCACCTCAACCACTAACATGGAATGTGAATACTGAAAATAGGCTCTTTTCAAATCATAGTCCCCTCAGTGGCAAGGAGGCTGACCGTCCACTAGAATCTATTTATTTAGTAAGGGGTTATATATAAATATATTAAAGTTGGTAGAGTTGGTTCAAGCCCCACCCCACATTTGGCGAAAGATTCCTGCATTGCAGTAGATTGGGCTAGATAAACCTTGTGGTCTCTTCCAACTCTATAAGTGCCTAGGAGGGTTTCCCCTGTAATTTATATAAGTTACCCACTTTCATTATAATAGGATATAATAGAAAACAGATTTAGGAGTATTGTAATGGATACTGTGGTGTAATAAATGCAACACTTTGCTTCTAAGAATATATAAAGAAAGGTTTGTCACATTTTTGTAATATTGTTCCTTTTACAGTTTCAGAATATATTAGCCCATGTCTTAAGTTCTATTGAAAACACTAGGATTTGTGACTAATAAATTCCATTGGCCTCAACAGGACGAAGTCAGAAGTAATTTTAGTTGGTAGGGCTTATTGTGTTTTCTAAATTTGTGTTTCTCTCCTTGAATTTAGAATCAGAAGATTATCATGGCAGAGAATTTTAATACGTCACAGAGAAGACATTTGCTTAGAAGGGACTGAAGCTGAAATGGGAAAACAAAAGAAGTTTTTTGCTTTTGAAGAAAAAATATTTGATGCACATGGTGCCAGAGGAAATCACATGGATTTGGGACAATTGTATCATTTTTTACTTGACAGTGGATGTGGTGATATTTTTCAACTGTACTTTGGAGTTGAAGGACAATAGATCATCAAGAGGTGGAAAAATCACATGGAACACTTAAATTAAACTTTAGCAGTCCTCTGTGGGTGACATGTAATTGTGGTGTCCCGCTTCTGTTTATGACAACAGGACTTCTACCTCCTCCCCTCCCCTTTTCATCCCAAATGTGTTGTGGGACCTTCTGGAGCATTTTGGGGAGTGGGTTGGCAGGAGAAAATCCAATCGTATCCACTGGTGTAATGTTGGATCTTGTCCTATGTTTTTACTTTAAAAAAATAAATAAATACTAAGAACTTTACTCATTTACATCTGATAAATTATGAATGTCCAAACAAGTTTGATTTTAATTTAAGATAACATTTTAATGCTAATGACAAACAATAAAAGCAATGCAGTTGATCTATTCATCTAAATAATTCTCATAATCTCAAATATCTATGTAGCCTAATCCTTTGCAGAATTAAAAAACTCGTTGAAATAAATAGGCTTTGATAAAACTAACTACAGTTAGTTTTGCTACACAGCATTTTTCAGGTATGAACTTCTATCTGTTCTTGTTTGCACATCACAAAATATAGCTATTTTTTCACATAACCCACTTGCAAGGTTAACTACATCATCATGTTTCCACTTTAGGGGTAGCAAAATTGTGTAGGTAGGTAGGTTGTGCTTGTGTTACTCATAGATAGGCAAAACCTTTATGACAGGTCTGCTCCACCTCTTACAGCTGGCTGTCACTCTGGTGGCAACACATGTCAACCCAATGTGTGGCAGCTATGAAAAAGGTGAATTCCTTTTTAGAGATCGTTAGAAAAGGGATTGAAAATAACACTGCCAATATTATTATGCATTTATATAAATCTATTGTGCGACCTCAGTTGGCATACTATGTACTGTTTTAGTTGCCACATCTCAGAAAGGATACTATGGAGCTGAAAAGGTGGAGAAAAGAGCAACCAAAATGATAAGGTGGTTTGGAAAAAAGTAAGAGGAATATGATAGAGTTGCAAAATATAAAAGCTTATGTCAAATATATGATGGCTATCCCTAATCCTATAGAAGGTATTTCAGCCATTATGCTTTATGTTTCCATCTTCTGTGAAACCTGGAAGTTCCTGAGCATATGCTTATATGTAGAACATCTGTAGGTCAGGAGCCTAAGGCTTCACTGTTGTCATTGTTGTCACTGTTGTACCTATAGTACAACTTTTAAGCATCCAGTATCCTACAGCGGCATGTTACAGGGAAAATAATTAGCAATGAGCAGGCTTTCAGGGAAAGATCCACCTTACAGATCCTCCATTGAACTACCCCCAATGAGCCCCCGAGTTCTCCAGTACATAATTTGAACACTATCCTAATCCTAAACTGGAAAAAAATCCTCCTGTCAGATTCCATGTATGCTACTAAGATCACTTGTTTTTTAAAAGCCCTATTTATCAGGGCACACATTAGCCTCCCATGAAGTGTCTGAGGCAGGGGTGCCAACTTGAATGAAATGTGGGGGCCGGGCGGGGAGGTAAGCCCTCCCCTTCACAATCAATCACTAGACACGGGACACGCACACCGTTTGAATGGCAATGTCCATCAATGTGGTGTGGGGTGGGGAACCGAAGGAACCTTGGCCCCTAGGAGTTGACATACCGGTATATGGTCTGAGTGGGGTATCAGAGGAATCTACGTGAGACTGAACCCTGCCTGTGGCTGTGAAAATGACTTTTTTTTAACAACAACAAAAAAGAACAGCACAATTATTCTTGGTGAGTAGATTGCGGACCAAAATGTGTAAACCCCATAGTCTTGATTCTGCTGCAGAGCCCAAAGGTACAGGCAGGGCCAGACTTAGGTCTGATGAGGCCCTAAGCTACTGAAGGTAACGGGGCCCTTTATATGACCAGCTGTCCTTTGTCAACAACAAATTGTTATTTTTGTGTGTGTGTTGAATATATGCTATATGGTAATTTATGGACCTAACAGGTATCTAAAGCCATTTGCCACTATTGCTGTATGTAGGTTTTATTTTATTTGTTTTTTATCTTATATTTTGGAAATGTACATCCAGGTTTTTTTCCCTTTAATTTTTTTTGGGGGGGGGCAAGAGAGTGGGGCCCTAAGCTATAGTTTGTTTAAGTTTATACGTAAATCCGGCGACTGCATGTTCTCGAAGAAGCTTGCAGTCTAAAAGTGGAAGAACCGGGGGGAAGAACAGCCCCGTATTTAGGCTCATAAAAGTGGTTGGGACCTAGAAGGCAAACGGGGTTGAACTCAACCCCCACGAGCCGCGTCTCGAGCTCCCAAAGCGGTTATGAAAGAGGCGTGATTCGGCGGAAGAGCAAGAATAAGCGAGGGAGGCGCGAGAGGGGAGGAGACTCCGGTCTCCGGGGGCGGCCTCTCCGCCATCGAGCCCGGAAGCGCCGTCCCTCCTTTCCCCACCTCTGTTGCCCGGGACCAGCTGCCTTGGGCCGGGCTGCCTGCTTGCTTCCGACTTCGCCGCCGCCATGGGAGGCAAGAACAAGCAGCGAACGAAGGGCAACGTGCGGGTGAGTGAGGGGCATGTGGGTATGTTATGTGTTCGCCCCCGGAGGGAACTGAATCAAAACGGCAACAGCTTTCCCCATCCAGCACGGGCCTGCTTTCCCCTTGGCGTACACGTGTAGGAGAGCCTGTTCCCACAGCCTTCTCTTTCAAGGGCTGCGTGATTCAACGTCTGTCGGGGCAGGAGGAGCGGGGGAAAGAGGCCATCACAAGTATCATAAAACCCTCTCCAAAGGGAGGATGAATTCTTCCTGTCCGAGGCCTTTTAGCAGTTGCAAGCTTGTAAATAGTGTCCAGATCACACTCGAATCAATAAGGAGAGTTGAAAGCACGACAGTTCTCAGAGGACAAGCTTTTTTTTTTGCTAGGGCTTCTTGATTTTCTTTCGTCGCGCCACGTCCATATGATCTTAACTTTGTATTTGACAATTAGTGCGGAAGAACCCCTGTCCTTGGCTCCGTTTTTTAGCTTACAGGAATCGGTTTATATGTAATATAAAGAATGGCTGCATCCCTTTCTACTTCAGTCTCTTTCCCTGCTATTACTGTGAGTACAGCTAATCTAACACACTTAACTGTGTAATATATTCCTGGTATGGTGGATAAGAGTACTGGACGTGACTTGTGTTCCAATCTGTGCTTAGCAATGAAGCTCAGATCACTACACATAAACAGGGGCAGCTGTATACCAAGTTGTAAATTATCACACTGGTTATCTTGTCATCTGTATTGCCCTATCAAGTGTTAAGGAGCATTTTTGCACTCTCCTGCTCCCCAAGTTTCTAAGTTAGGTGTTGAAATGTGGTAAAATTATCCTTATCACTTTGTACAACAATACAGATTGACAGTTTTCCAAGCAATTACATGTACCTTATAGTATGTTGCTGCAATTAAATGGTTATCTGTATTCACATAATCCTTCAGCCCAACCAATTTACAGGTTTCTTGTGAGGATAAGGTAGCCAGAAGCTCTGCAGAGCCTTGATTTTTAACAGGCTTAAATGCAATTAACTGCATAGATTTTTTTGCTTTAAGATCACCCTGTATTATCTTCCTGTTTCCCATTTCCCCCTCCCCAACAATGTTCAAGTGTTTATTTCAAGCAGGAAGTAGGGGGTTGGCTTCTTACTGACACTCTACTCGTCCCACCTTTGAACTCCACATTTTTTGGAACTAGTGCAAAAAGTCTATATGTGTACAGTCCCTTATAAATATCCTTGAAAAATAGAATGTGCGGACACTGTGTATAATCTGCTGAATGTGTGGAAATCGGGGATGGGACTTTCTGGTGTGTTCCCAATTCTTGTGCCCGTGTGTTCATTCCTACCTATGACCAGTGTTTGAACAAGGCTTCTGTAGCTTTGTTATATTTGCCTCTTCCTGCTCTCCATTTCTTGTTTTCCCTATTGTTAAAATCACTGTGATCTGTTCTCTGGGAACCTTCACACTCACATGTTCTTGTTAAGCCCTGGTTTGGCTTGTTGTTATGTGCTAACGGGGTCACTGTGTGTATCTGGCAGGAGAGGGATGGACATGAGAGTTCCCCAACAATGCAGTCCAAACTGTTCTAAATGTAAACATAACAAGAATCCTGTAGTAGCTTAAGGACAAATATAATTATTGTGATAATTTTAAGATTCCGGGACTCGTCGTTTTTGCTATAACAGACTTGCATGGCTATTCTTTTGGAATTTATCTAAAATGTAGACTTCTAGAGAGAATAGAGTTGTGAGCACAGACAAAAGTGTTGGGTTAAGACTTGAACAAGCAGCAGTGCAACTAATGAGAATAATGGTTTTGGGCCAGTTGGATTAGTTCTTTCAGTCATAAGATAAAGAATTGCAGCTGTTGGGGCACAAAAATATGCCCCAAAATGGTTGTCGGTAAACGGAAATTTTAGAATTGTTCTGTAAAAGTAAGCTTTCCATTTCTCTCTCTCTCCCTTTCTTTAAAAAAATAGCCCTCTAGCAGTGGTAGAGCAGCAGAACTTCTTGCCAAAGAACGAGGAAGTGTTCCTGGGTTTGTTGGCTTCGGCACATCTTCAAGTGACCTAGGCTATGTCCCTGCGATTCAAGGCGCTGAAGAAATAGATAGCCTTGTGGATGCTGACTTTCGAATGGTGCTGAGAAAACTTTCCAAGAGAGATGTTACAACCAAATTGAAAGTCGGTTTGTTGTACTGCTCTTAAATGCCTAGTAATTATTTATTGATAATGCTACTTAAAGCAAGTTTAGACCAATAACATGAGGATAGAAATACACCGGAGAAAGAAACAGTTACTTTCAGTTTATTTGTAACAAATGGTTTGTTGCACTATATGGTATTGTGTGATTTGTTTAGCTGCATATTTTAATGGTTAGGCAAGCCTAGGATTGCAACTTTATTTGGAATTAAGTCCATCTAAACTTGATGGGCTTGCTTATGTAAACTAAGTATAATATCATGATGCAAGTCCCATGTATGTCAACAAGAGATGTAGCTTGTTTACTCGTATATAAATCCCATTATAACTCAGTTGAACTTACTCTCAAGTAAATGTGGATAGAATTCACCCTTAGTCTTTGGGTTACCAAGTGATTCGCAAGGTTCCAGGCTGTATATCCTATACAGTGGTGCCTCCAGACGAAAATAATCGTTCAGCGGTCTTCTTAGCGTTTTTCGTCTTGTGAAGCACCTATTCGCGATTGCGTTACGGTAGGCTATAAGTCGGCAAAGCTATTAGACGCTTGGTAGAAAGGGGGGACGGGAAAAAGCAAGATACAAGGTTTGTCTTGGAAGCAGCCAAGGAAATGTCTTGCGAGCAACTCAGAACGAAAACCCTTTCGAGGGAGTTTTCGTCTGCGAGCATTCGCTGCGGGGCACCAC